GAGCTTGTTTTAAGTAGGTGCTTTAGACCACTGAGCCATCTCACCAGCCCCACTTTTAAATAATAGATTGTGAACTGCTATTTTTTCCCCTCCTGTTGTATCAACTCAACTATGTCCCCACATACCCAACAGATACCAAATTGGTATTTAGAAGAAAAATCCTGAATGGTTTTAGAAGAGGGCAATGATTATCACTTTTCAGTAGCTCTTACATTTCTAGATAACCATGTTCCTAATACAGTGGAGTTAAAAGCATCAGCTGAGGCTGCAGTCCATGTGTGAGGCTCTGTGTTCAATCTTCAGCATCAGAACAAGCAGAGCATCACTTCTTGTTTTCCTGATTTTTTTTTTTTTTTGCGGAACCATGGATTGAACTCAGGCCCTTATGCTTGCCAGGGAAGTGCTTATTCCACTAAGCCATCTGCCCGGCCCCATTTTCCTGATTTTTTAATCCTGGCTATTTCCTTAGTTGGGTGACATAAAGCAAGCTTCTGGCACTAAGCCCCACTGTGTTTCAGTTTGACCATTTATAAAGTACAGTAATATATTTATTTCATAGGGGTGAGGATGAAACAAAGTGCTTAGAATAGGGCTTTTCACATAACACAAAAATAATATTTTAAAGAAAAAGTCTAGCTTTTAAAATTAATTAGGCTGGGGACCAGGGATATAGCTCAGTGGCACAGTGCCTGCATGGTAAGCACAAGGTCCCTGAGTTCGATTCTCAGTACATAAGATATTAGTGATTTTTTTTTTTTTTTTTTTTTGCGGAACCGGGGATTGAACTCAGGCCTTTGTGCTTGCCAGGGAAGCGCTTATTCCACTGAGCCATCTCCCCGGCCGTCAGTATATAAGATAAAATAAAATACAAAAATAAGGGCCGGCAAGGTAATTCAGCAGCTCTCTAAAGCATCTGCTTAGGCAAGCTTAGGCACATGCCGTGCCAGCCCCACCCTCAGAGTGGGCTGAGCTGGCCAAAAATAATAAAAATAAAATAGGCTGGACATGTGTATAATTCCAACCCTTAGGAGGCTGAGCCTGGAGGATCACCAAGAAGCCATCCTTGACTATAGTGGTGGTATAGCTCAAGGCCAGCCTGAACTACATACCAAGACCCTGGCTCAAAATACATCCCCTAATTAATAATGATGCCCAGTTTTAGAAGACATTTATCCTAAGCCTGATCTACATGTCATGGAAACTACTTTTTAAAATTTACCAAGGCCAGGGAGATAGCTCAGCAGATAAGAACCTGCCTAGCAAGCACAAAGTTCCGATTTCAATCCCCGGTACCACACATGCACGCGCGCGCACACACACACAAAACAACTCTGTACCATAGCTCACAACTACCTGTGTTGTGAAGGTTTATTACTTCTTTAAATGACAGTAAAGTTATATTTATATTTGGGGTGGCCTAAGATAATTATAAGCTGAAACATAAAGGACCTTGATAAGTCTTTTTTTTTTTTTTTTTAATATTTATTTATTTATTTATTTAGTGTGTGGCCAGCTTAGCCCACCAGGGGGCAGGCGGGCTGGCATGTGGTGCTGGGGGATTGAACCGAGGTCCCTGTGCTTTAGCTTGGCTTAGCTTGTTCTAAGTAGGTGCTTTAGACCACTGAGCCATCTCACAAGCCCCTTGATAAGTCTTATTACTGGTTAAAACTGTTGTTTAAATGGTATACTTCTCTGGTACATTTGCACCATTTTTCTTGTCCCACAGGGCTATAAGAAGTTTTGACACAGCTTAATAACCACTAAGTGATAACAGCATATGTTGCAAACTTTGATTAAGCAATTGGTCATTAACTTAATACTTTTCCTATAATCCCTCAGTTTCAGGGCAATCCAAGGAATCCCATTTTAACCAGGTCTGGGCTTTAATTGCCCCAGATCAAGACCCTAAAATGTTCTAGCCATTTCCTTTAAATTTGACTCAAAACCCTAGATTAGCTAACATTTACACTTGATCTTAGCTAAAAGACCAAGAAATGATAGATTAGCTAACATTTAATCCACCTCTTGAGCAGCTGGAGATGGAAGCTCACCACCACCAAGATAATTCTTTTGGTATCAAATTGTGACACCACTAAATTTTCTCTAAGCATAACTGTTTGACAGAACTGAATCATAAGAAGGCCAGAATGTCCTAAATACTTAATCCTCTTCCATATAAACCCGTAATCCTTCCCCAATAACACTATATTTAGCCCAGGTAACAAGAAGCATAAATTAGGGGCTGGTGAGATGGTTCAGTTGTCTAAAGCACCTACTTAGAACAAGCTTAGCAAAGCACAGGGACCACGGTTCAATCCCCCAGCACCACAGGCCAGCCAGCCCCGCCCCCTGGTGGGCTGAGCTGGCTCCCCCCACATAAATAAATTAAAAAAAATTAAAAAAAAGAAGCATAAATTAAGATCAAGAACACACCCACATCATCCTCACCCTGGAAGCTCTTTGCTTCTTTTTCCCCAATTTTTTGGATTCTAGTTAATTGTCCAGGAACTTTACACTGTGCTCATACAACTTACATCTAACTCACGCCACCTATCCCCCAGATTTAATCACAATGTCTAGAGCAAATCTACAACAGTTATCAGATCAAGAATACTGTGGGCTAGGTGGAACCTAACTTCTGGGGGGTCATTCAAATGGCCCTAAAAAATCCAATTCAATCCCTGTAGCTTCTATCTTTTGCCTTGAGCATTCTTTGAAAAATGTGTATAGTAACCACAAAGAGCTCTATGAAATTTGGGTAAAAACTGAGGGAACAAAACTGGTGAAGTGGAAGATACATATACCAGATTTTACAGCCAAGTCAAAGTAGCATAGGTAAATTCAGAAAACAGCATTCAGTCTCATTTTATGTGTTCCTAAGATTCACTGATTTCCCCAGACGATATCAATACCCTTGAGTAGTTTATGAAATAAAATGAAATTCTTCAGACCAGCAGTAGTGGCTTCTATAATACCACTGACTACATTTACACAAAATCTTCTAACTTTATTTTCTTCTAACTTTAAAAATACAGCTTTTTATACATATTATCTCCTTTGGTCTTCACACATCAATCCACGAGGAGAAAACAAGAATGAGCAGTCCTGTATTTGCTTAAAAAGTTTCAAATGGCAAAGTACTGAGATTTGGTGTTGCACAGCAATATAATCCCAGCAATTTATAGGCTGAGGGAGAAGGATTAAGAGTTTGGGGCCAGGGCCTGTGAGATTGCTCAACACACTAAAGTGCCCGCTTAGGTAAGCGCAGGGACCACAGGGACCAACGTTCAATCCCCAGCACCACATGCCGCACCAGCCTCACCCCCAGGGCCAGCTGAGCTGGCCACAGTCCAGGTGTAGTGGTGCACACCTCTAATCCCAGTGCTAGGGAGGCTTGAAAACAGGAGGTTCACTATGAGTCTGAGCTGCATAGTGAGACCCTGCAACAACCAAATACATTAAAAAAAAAAAAAAAAAGTTCAGAGCCATCCAGACAATTTAGCAAGACTGCCTCAAAAAAATCCAATACATACATACATACATACATACATATGTAATTAGGGCAAAGGAGATAGCAGTGTTAAGAGTACTTGTCTATCATCTGGCAGTCCTGGGTTGAAACCCTAGCATGAGAGCAAACTTTCATTAAGGCACTTCCAACCACAGCATAAGACAAATCTGCATAGGATGACCCTGTACCAAATAAATAAGAAAGAATCCCGGCCAGGTATAGTTGGCATGCTTGTAATCCCAGCACTCAGGAGGCCAAGGCAGGACTGCCTTTTTTTTTCTTTTATGGAACCAGAAGACTGCCTCGAGTTTGATGACAGCCTTACATAGGGAGACCCTAAAGAACTTAACCATGCCCAGCCTCTTTTCCTTCTTGTTAGAGCAACAGTCAGGAATGGAAAGAAAAATCGGAGTACTACAATATGTTTTCACAAGTGGGCTGGGGGGATAGCTCTGCGGCATAAGTGCCTGCCCTCCCGGCAATCTCAAGGTCCCTAGTTTGATTCCCATGGGGGGTGGGGGGAGTAAGTTATGTTTTCAAAAGATGAATAAAGGAAAAAACTGGATTGAAATTGGATTGCATTTGTCAAGGAGTCAACTATTATTACTACTGGAGAAAAACAGCAGTGAATGTAAATATCAACGTGTTTTGGAAACCATTACTAACAAACATTTGCCAAAAAGGAACGTGAAAACACCAGAAAGAGTAAATCTGGGGCCGGGGAGATGGCTCAGTGGAATAAGCACTTCCCTGGCAAGCGCATGAGCCTGAGTTCAATCCCTGGTTCCGCAAAAAAAAAAAAAAAAAAAAGAGTAAATCTAGTAATCAGAAATAAGTATATATATATAGAAGCCATAGAATTGTGGTTATCGCCGGGTTGGTGGCGCTTCCCCAATACCCCAGCACGGGGAGGCTGAGGGAAGAGGATAGCTGTGAGTTCGGGGCCAGCTTGGGCTACATAGGCTAGATCGAGGCCAGCTTGGGCTAAATAAGCTAGTTCATGGCCAGCCTGCACTATATAGTGAGAACCTGTCTCAAAACAAATAAAAAAGTGGTTATCCAATACAGTTAACCTTTCTTGAATTAAATTCTTAAAATTATCCATACAGCCAAAACGTACACTATAAATGTCAACAAGTAACTAGAAAAATCCATTTGCCATTAACCTTTAACCTTAAAATCCTCAGGCACAGTCAGCTCTTCTACGGGGTTACACAGTCACAAGTTAACTATTGCAAGAACAGAGTCTCAAGTTCAAAGTGGCTTTTGTTGTTCGGTCACTGGAAGGCTGACAGGACACGCAATGAAACCTGGCTAGCACGTGATAGCTAATTCCACACTCAGTAAATATACAAAATACCAAAGCCTGCTTGTTCTCACAGCTCCAGTAAGTAGGCCCAAGTGAAAAACAAACCGTCCACCGACGCCCTTCCTAAGCAGGCTTCAGACGCGCAGTGGGCTCAGGCCCGTGCAACCCAGGCCACCTTACCTGTCCAAAGGTAACCAATAATGCCGCGCAGGGCTGCCCTGTGGGGCCGAGAAGCAGGCCGAGGCCCTGTCTTCTACCTCCCGCCTCGGCCTCTGGCTTCCAGGTAACTAAGGGAGCGCGCGAGTCACAGAGGAGCGGAGTGTGACATCAGCAGGGCCGCCGTGACGAGGCCGCCCGCGGGAGCAGGTCCCGGCTGGAGCCCGCGGCCCTGACCGCTCCCTCAGAGCCGGCGGCTCACTGAGGCTCGTTTTGCTTTCGTTCCCTCCAGAGGGCCGAGAACGGGCCTCGCGTCGGCACTCAGCGCAGGACACCGGACGGGGGTGGGGGAGGTGCCGAGGAAGCGACCCAGGGCGGCAGAGGCCGCCGCCCGCTCTCGGGCGGAAGAGGGGCCGCGACGCCCCAAGACCACGCAGTTCGCCCCCGCCCGCTCCAACTGCGCAGGCGCAGCACTGGCTCCCTAGCTTCTCCCTCCAACTCCACAGAGCCAGGCCTGGTGAACTCAGCGTGTAAAATCTGTCGGAAAATGGACGCTACGCCCACTCTTACAGAGACAAACTCCTTCTACTAGCTCCTTCCCCATTTCTTACTTCTTGTTGCCCACTCAGCCACTCGGACGTACCTTCACAACCTGCCTCTCAGGAGCCTCCCAGCCTTTGTAATACCGGATGTGCTCTGACTTCCAGGGTCAGCTTTAGACTCTACACCCTGGATCGGCCCCCTCAGAAAAGGCCCGCCCCCGTGCCACTTAAGGCCAGTCTTCATTGGCCGTTGACCGCACTTCTACCTTTCCATTGGCTGTACGTGCACAAACAGCGGTTGCTTACTTCAGAGTCATTAGCTAATAGCCTTGTCAATCAAATCTCTGACCACCAACCGGCGTCGTAACAATAGGTCTCCGCCTTCGCACGTAGTAAGGAGGTATGGCGGTCTACCGCGCCCCCTGGTGGAGAAAGTGAAGCAAGGCAAGCCCCGCCTAAGGTCTCTCAAAGTGGTGCAACCCCCTAGACGCGGGATGAGAGAGCGCTGCAATGTCCTAAGATTCTTTAGTTCTCGCGCAATAATGAAGAAAGCGAAGTACGAACAAATGGAAAAGCTCCCTCACGGGTACCTATGTACTGTGAATCTAGTAGAGCTTAAACTTCAGAGCACCCGAAGGTTCAGCAACCTAGAGATCGCGAGGAGAAACGGTCACCGCAGCCAGCCTCAGACGCACAGACCCCAACCTAGAAGACCCGGTCTAAGCTGAGTGTTGGCCTGAGGGCCGCGGGCTGGGCAGGCGTGCTGTCAGGACACCTGCCCTCCTGGCTGCTTTAAGGAAGTGGGTGTTCTTTAGAGTCCTCTCCGCCCTTAGAGTTGGGGCGGAGGAGAAAGGCAGTGACTGACACCTGACTCAGCTATCCTGGCACCCTCTGTCCAGGCACCCTCTTTGGGGACCAACCCAAGAGAGATCCCAGAGCTGGGATTGAAGGGCTGGAGTTCCCTTGTGGGCTTGTTCCTTACAAGAAGCACCACCTGTGGAGGAACTTTTTTTGTTTTTGTTTTTGTTTTTTTTTGGTACTGGAAGTTGAACTGGGGATCTTCAGCTTGCCAGGCAAATGCTGTGCCGTTGAGCTATCTCCCCAGTCTCATGGAGAAACTTAAGTTGCGAACTTTTTTCTAAACAATCTATTATTGGAGGACCCAGCGCCAAAGCCCTGACTCGCCCTGCTGTGGGGAAAATGATCCACAGTCTATTTCTTATAAACTGTTCTGGTGACATATTTCTAGAGAAGCACTGGAAAAGTGTTGTGAGCCAGTCTGTCTGTGATTACTTCTTTGAAGCTCAGGAGAAAGCTGCCGATGTTGAAAATGTACCACCTGTCATTTCGACACCTCACCACTACCTCATCAGTATCTACCGTGATAAGCTCTTCTTTGTGTCTGTCATACAGACTGAAGTGCCACCTCTCTTTGTGATTGAATTCCTACACCGAGTTGCTGATACTTTCCAGGACTACTTCGATGAGTGTTCGGAGGCTGCAATTAAGGACAATGTGGTCATAGTGTATGAGCTCTTGGAAGAAATGTTGGACAATGGATTTCCACTGGCTACTGAATCTAACATTTTAAAAGAAGTGATTAAACCACCAACAATTTTACGTTCTGTTGTCAACTCTGTTACAGGCAGTAGTAATGTAGGGGACACACTCCCCACTGGGCAGCTATCCAACATCCCATGGCGCCGGGCAGGAGTGAAGTATACCAACAATGAAGTCTATTTTGATGTTGTTGAAGAAATAGATGCAATTATAGATAAATCAGGATCTACAGTCTTTGCAGAAATTCAGGGGGTCATTGATGCTTGCATTAAGCTGTCTGGAATGCCTGATCTCTCTCTCTCTCTTTCATGAACCCAAGGATTCTGGATTCTGCTTCCATCCTTGCATCCGGTTCAAGCGTTGGGAATCTGAAAGAGTTTTGTCATTTATTCCTCCAGATGGAAATTTCCGACTCATTTCATACCGTGTCAGCTCACAAAATCTAATGGCAATACCTGTATATGTGAAACACAGTATCAGCTTTAAGGAGAACAGTTCTTGTGGCAGATTTGATATAACAATTGGAACAAAGCAGAACATGGGAAAAACTATTGAAGGAATTACAGTGACAGTTCACATGCCAAAAGTTGTGCTGAATATGAACCTGACACCAACACAAGGCAGCTATACATTTGATCCAGTCACCAAGGTACTAATGTGGGATGTGGGGAAAATTACTCCACAAAAGCTCCCAAGTCTTAAAGGACTGGTAAATTTGCAGTCTGGAGCACCCAAACCAGAAGAAAATCCTCAACATACAGTTCAAGATCCAGCAGCTTGCTCTTTCAGGTTTGAAAGTAAACCGTCTGGATATGAATGGGGAGAAATATAAGCCATTTAAAGGAGTCAAATATGTCACAAAAGCCGGAAAATTCCAAGTGAGGACATGAGAAGAGGCCACCATTCCTCGAGATCAGTTTGTTTTCCAAGTGTCATTACAATGTATTACTGTTGGGTACCAAGTGGGTGGGAATACATATTCTTAAAGCATTTATGTCTAGCTATACACCACTAACAAAGTTTGCTTAGTAATCAGTGTAGGGTTCTTAAGGAAATTTAAGCTAAGGAAACTTTTCTAATGACTTAGCTTATTTTATACCTTTTCACTTAGGAAGATTCTGGAGATGATTTCTTGCAGAGGGGGCAGGGAGTCCCCACTGGATGCTGCACACCATAAGGGCAGAAGGCTACAATGGCAACCTCTCCTAAAGCAAGTGAACTGGGTTCATCCAGCAGGATCAGTCTTAATCTGTGATGTGTCAGGTGCAGCCAAATGTCATACCTTCTGACCGTAGCCATCCCAAACAGTACTATCCTAACGAAATCCCCTCACCCCAAGAAGTTTACAGAAAACTGCCTCTTCAAGTGTTTGCCTTATTCAGCTTTTCACTTGTGCCATTAAGCAAGCACTGTAGCAAAAGCCACTTCCATATGGCCCTGGCAGGGAGTACTGCTGCTCCATGCTCCATCCTCACTGTACTTGGTATTGTATTTTTTATAAATAAGATTTTTATGTAAAAGCTCAGATTTTGATTTACAAGGAACTTGCTGCAGTACATACCATCTCAAGTTTGTGCCACCAGTTCAGCTGTTAGAGAGCACAGTAAAAATCATTTGTATCAAAGGGGCAAATGCTTTATAAAGGTAATAAAAAGGGGGCCGGGGAGATGGCTTGGTAGAATAAGAGCTTCCCTGGCAAGCACAAGGGCATGAGTTCAATCCCCAGTTCTGCCAAAAAAGAAAAAAAAGAAAACTAGGGCCATTCTTTTGGGCTGGTGAGATGGCTCAGTGGTCTAAAGCACCTACTTAGAACAAACTTAGCAAAGCAAAGGGGACCGCGGTTCAATCCCCAGCACCACATGCCAGCCAGCCCCGCCCCCTGGTGGGCTGAACTGGCCACACACACACAAAATACATACATAAATAAATAAATAAATAGAAATTTAAAAAAAAAAGGTAATAAAAGGGAACGCTACTTCTGCTTTTAAGAAGTTATTGCAAGCACAAGTGTTGTGCTGTTAAGCAAATTAAAGTAGTAAAAGAAAAAAACAATCTATTATTATTATTATTATTATTGACACAGGGGTCTCCCAGTTTCCCCAAGCTGGCGCTAAGGGCTCCTCCTGCCTCAGCCTCCTGAATAACCAAGACTACAGGCACGCGCCTGGCAACTATTGATCATTTTTTGACAGTTTTTACTAATTTATCTTTCTAATATTGCCCAAAATAGTATAAAATTGCTATTGGAAGAGGCAAAGAGTCTGCATCTTAAAAATGCAGGGTTGGGGAAGAAAAAAAGTGTAGTATGGTTACAGACCAGTTGATAAACTTATTTTTATGATTCTGTGGTGTTTGTGGTTTTGTTGACATTTGAAAACATAAAACCAACGTGGTGGTATACACCTCTAAACACAGCATCGGGAAAGCTGAGATAGGGCTTGCCACCAGTCAAGGCCAGTCTGCTCTACATAGTAAGACCCTGTTTAAAAAAAAAAAAAACACATTTTGCGGGCTTGCGGGTTAGCTCAGTTGTTTAAGCACCTACTTGGGCAAACCCAGTCAGGGGCAGGGGACTGTGGTTTGATCCCCAGCTCCACATATCTGACCAGACCCGCCCTAAAGGCAGCCTGAGCCAGCCAAAAAAAACAAAAACAAATTTTTTCTTTATCATACAAAAAAATGCTTCAGATGTTTGTTGAAGAAACTATCTGTGGGGCTGGTGAGATGGCTCAGTGGTCTAAAGCACCTATTTAGAACAAGCTAAGCAAAGCAGAGGAACCGTGGTTCAATCCCCCAGCACCACATGCCAGCCAGCCCCGCCCCCTGGTGGGCTGAGCTGGCCACACACACACACACACACAAATAAATAAATAAAATTTTTAAAAAAGAAACTATCTGTGATACACTGTATGTTTTGTTTGTGATGCTAAAGATTAAAGCAAGAACTTCATGTATGCTAAGCAAGTGGTCTACCATGGAGCTGTCAGATATATATAACATTTTTTTTTTAGTTGTATATATTTATGTGAGTCTGCTTCAGGGCTCTGTGTTCTGTTCCACTGATCTATTTGTTCTTTTGCTGATACCACATGGTCTTGTT